TAACATTTCCCTCCCCTTCAAAAGAAACCTTGTCCACAAGGTTGGCATCAAAATTGGAACTTTGGATAGCTAGCAGTTAATGCATCAAAATCTTTCCAGGTTGCACCATCACTGGTACCCCCTTCCCACTGCACAATAAGTTGAACTCCAGCTGCATTTCCCTTTTTGTACATTCTTCTCTGCAAGATTGCCATAGGCATTTGTTGTTTCAAACCATCATCATGGACAGAGGGCAAGGTAGTGGTAAGCACAATGTCAGGACCCAAATGTTGCTTAAGACAACTAACATGGAAAACTGGATGTAACTTGCAGCCTTCATGGAGTTTTAACTTGTAAGCTAATGAGCCTATCTTCTCCAAAACTTCAAAAAGACCATAGAATCGCGGATGGAGTTTGTGATAAGAATAAGAAGCTAAGGATTGCAACTGATAAAGTATAAGCTTGAGATGAACCAATTACCCCACGACAAATTCTCTCTCAGTTCTGTGCCTGTCAAATTGCACCTTCATTATGTTCCTAGCTTTCTTCGAGTTTGATTCTCTCTCAGTTCTGTGCCTGTCAAATTGCACCTTCATTATGTTCCTAGCTTTCTTCGAGTTTGATTTAAGTAGAGACAAAAGTTTATCCCAGGCTATCAAACTTTGCCCCACCATTTCCACTCTTGTTGTGCCACTCTCATAACCTGCAATGTGAGATGAGGGGTATCCATAAACCAGTTCAAATGGAGTAAACTGTGCAGAAGTATGATAAGAAGTGTTGTAGCTCCACTCAGGTAGCCAATGTAACCATTTCTTAGGTTGTGCACTGGTGAAACATCTCAAATAAGTCTCCAAGCACCTATTGAGAACCTCAGCTTAGCCATCGGTTTGGGGATGGTAACCTGAGCTTAAGTAGAAGGTTGAACCTTGGAGTTTAAATAACTCATTCCAGAAAGAGCTCAAGAAGATAGGGTCCCTGCCACTAACTATAGATGCAGGCATGCCATGTAATTTGAAGACATGGTTCACAAATGCATGAGCCACAATAGAGGCAGTGTAAGGGTGTGCTAATGCCACAAAGTGGGCATACTTGAAAAACCTGTCTACAATCACCAGTATCACAGATTTACCAAAGCACAAATGAAGATTCCCAATGAAATCTATGCTAATGTCTCTCCAAATACCTTGAGGAATGGGCAATGGTTGCAACAAACTTGGAAGAGCAATGGTTTCATATTTATGTTGTTGGCAAACTATGCACTCAAAAACAAATCTTTTCACATTGTTTTTCATGCCTGGCCAATAAAAACTACGTTTAACCCTCTGATATGTCTTAAGAACCCCCTCATGCCCTGAAATGGGTGTGGAATGATGCTCATTGAGAACCTTATCTCTCTAAATCGAAGTGGGATTGAGCACTATTCTTGATTTAGACTTGAGCAACCATTGTCAACATGGTAGTGAGAGGTAGTTGTTGTATCTGTAGCTAAATCTTGCACATTTTGCAGGATCTATTCATTCTTTTCATTGAACCTCCTCAAATCATCAATCCACCCCATATAGGGATATGAAATAGCCTGACAAGTAACAACCTCTCCAGAGTGGGCATTGATTTCTTCTTGATTCTGAGAGGTATGAACTACCCTTGAGAAAGCATCTGCAACCATATTTTCAGAGCCACTCTTATATTGGATCTCATAATCAAATCCAAGCAACTTAGATACCCATTTCTGTTGGAAATGAGCATGTGCTCTATTACTGAGGAAGTATCTTAGACTATGGTGGTCTCTTTTAATGACAAAGTGCCTCCCTTGCAAATAGTGTTGCCATTTCTTGATAGCTTGCACTATTCCCATCAGTTATCTCTCATAAGTTGAGAGTGCTTGGTTCTTGGGACCAAATGCTTAACTAGAAAAAGCAAGAGGTTTTCCCCTTTGTTGCAGCACTGCCTTTATGTCATTCCTCGATGCATCACATTCAATGACAAAGGGCACTGAAAAATCAGGCAATGCAAGTACCTGAGGAGAAACCATAATTTGCTTGAGTGTAAGTAAAGCCTCATGAGAACTAGAATTCCAATGAAACCCATCCTTTTTTGTCAACTTATAAAAGGGTTGGCAGATTTTGCCATAGCCTGGAATAAACTTTCTATAGTAGCCAGTTAGGCCTAAGAACATTCTCAATCCCTTTACATTCACAAGTTTAGGCTAATCAACTATTGCTTGAAGTTTGGAGGGATCAACTGCTACACCCTATCTAGAAACCACATGCCCCAAATATTCAACTTTGGATTGGCCAAAAGAGCATTTTTGCTTTTTCACAAAAAGCTTATGATCTGTGAGTACCTGGAATGTTGTTTCTTAAATATGAAATGTGAACCTCTCATGAATTGCTATAGATGAGAATATCATCAAAGAACACAACACAAATTTCCTTAAGTAGGGCCTGAAGACATCATTCATTAAACTTTGAAATGTTGCAGGTGCATTGGTGAGCCCAAAGGGCATCACTAGGAACTCATAGTGCCCCTCATGAGTATGGAAATCAGTTTTCTCGATATCTTCTTCACATATTCGAATCAGGTCATAACCAGATCGTAAATCAAGCTTGGTAAAGAACTGAGCCCCATACAATTCGTTAAGCAAGTCATCTATCAATGGGATATGGTATTCGTTTTTTATGGTAATAGAGTTTAACTCTCTGTAGTCCATGTAAAGCCTCCAAGATCATTCATTTTTTCAACACAAGTAACATTGGGCAAAAAAAAAGGCTTCAACTTGGACAACCTGCTTGTAGCAACTCAGTTATTGCTTTTTCTATTTCAGACTTATGGAGATGACCATAATGGTGGGGTCTGATATTGGGTGGTTTGGTGCTTGGCAGGAGATGAATCTTGTGGTCATGCACTTGTGAAGATGGTAGAGAAGTAGGAATTCCAAATAGAGGTTCAAAGTCTTGTAATAAGCGTTGCAGGTCTTGCAGTTGAGATAGAGTTAACTTAGAAGCCTCCATTTTAGAACCTTCCAGTGAGTAGAGCACCAATCCCAAAGTAGAATTCAAAAACTCTTTTTCCACATTGTGCAGAGATACTGCTTGTAAAGCAGGTAATGGCTAAGAGTTACTATGGAGAAGTTTATAATGTTGGTCATTCACTGTGAATTCCATAGTTAAAAGCTAGAAGTCCCAGAGTATAGGGCTGATGGTAGATAACCAATCCACACCTAAAATGACATCACAGCCACTAAGTGGAAGAGTAAAAAGTGTATGAGTATATGTATAACCCTTTAGAGATATGAAAGCCTCCTTATAACAACCCTGACTTTCACTTTCTCTCCATTAACCACCACAACTTCAAAAGGTTTTGTGCTCTTCAATTGCCAACCCATTTGTTTCACTAGCCTTGAATCCACAAAACTATGAGAACTACCAGAATATAGTAAGATTTTCACTATTTAGCTGCCAATGAATCCTACCACTTTCATAGTTTGAGGTGTTTGTTTGGATAGAGTCCCAAAATAAGCACATTCACTAAGTTCCATATGTTGTATCTCAGCCAATACATCATCAGGTGGTTTAAATACTTCCTCATCCTCTCCTAGGAAATCAATCATCAACAATTGTTTCTGGCCACACTTATGTCCACGAACCCACTTCTCATCACAGAACCAACAGTCACCCCTCTTTCTTTTTTTTTTTTCTTTTTTTTTGAATTTCTTCAAGTGAGAGTTTCTTGAGTGGTAAGTTAGGGAGCCTAGGATGGGCAACATTGTGGGGATTAGCAGGCAGTGGTGTGGGATTGTACTGAGGGAAAAGTTTTTGGTGACCAAATTTAAGTTCAGCATACTTAGTATCCAATTGAATAGCTATATAAATAGCCTCATGGATAGTGGCAGGGCGTAGCAATTTCACATCAAACCTCAATTCTTTCTTTAAACCACCTAGGAAACAACTCTTAAGGAAAATTGGACCAACATCGGAAGTTCTATTAACAAGCCTACAAAACTCAGCAATATAATCCTTGAGAGTACCTGATTGACGAAGTTTGAAGAGAGATTCAGTGCAATCTTCGAATTCTAAAAGTTCAAATTCACGGCAAAACACAGTGGTAAAATCATCTCAACGTGGTGTAGTGACCAAATAGTCCATCCACCGAAACCATTGCAACGCCTCGCCCTCCAAGTGAAAAACGACTGTAACCACTTTTTGATGCTCCATGGTGCCATAGTAAGGGAAAAATTGCTCGGCCTTGTAAATCCAAGCAATCAGATCATCTCCATTGGTGAATCTGGGAAATTCGATACGATGGTGCAGGTTTTGCCATAGGTGGTGAGCGCCGTCATAGATCTCACATCGCGGAGTGTGTATAAGCTCCTCTTCGCCATGATCTGGGATATTCTCCATGATCAGAGGTGGACGACGCTCTGGATCAGAAGTTTCACCTCCAGTCCTTCCTCCATAAGAGAGTTCACGACGAAACTGCTCAGAGCATATCGTGAGCTTTGCATCCAGAGTATCAGAGAAAAAGGATTGCAATGAAGCAAAAGAAGCTTCGAGAGCAGCCATTCACTCATCCACGGCCGTAAAGCGAGTGGTGGTGGTGTGTCTGGGCATGCACGGAAGGGAAACCAGGACTGGCAAAGGGTGATACCAATGTTAGGACCTAATTCAACCTTGACGTGTTGCAGCAAGGTATAGTAATGGAGTATGGAAGTGATGGAGAAGAAAGGAGCTGAGCTCCTATTTTTTGGAATAATATTTTTTAATTCAATTAACCTTTGGAAGTTCACTACAACCATTCGGCCATATAAAGCCATACAAACTAAGCCAGCTGGCCATTTCAGCACAAAACAACAAAAGCATAACCAATTGTAACTAATCTGATGCTTAATACTAATTCACTTATTAAAAATGTGATTAAGAAAATCACATTGTTTACGGTTCATAACGCAAGGGGTAGAACTGTCATTTCATTTTTTTTTGTTTGTTTTTTGTTTAACATCATTTCAAAACCTTTGGTCATGTAAAAGACAAGGACTTTTGTTCAGTGGGGAACAAAACACTGTAAAAAGCTCTCAGAGCCTCAAAGAAGACGATGAAACGTTTCTTCCAACCGGTAGGGAAAGACGGCTCCGCCAAGAAACCCACACTCGCACCTCCTTCCACAGATAACGACAAAATATCAGCGGAGGACGCCGCCAAGAAACAGCCGCTCAAGTTCATAACGTGGAATGCCAACAGCTTTCTTCTCCGGGTGAAGAACAACTGGCCCGAGTTCACCAAGTTCGTCTCGAGCATCGACCCAGATGTCATTGCGATACAGGTGGGATACATTCTCTGTTTTTTCACTAACCCACATCGATTTTTTGCTTGCTATCAAAAGTGTACTTGATTTTTTATTATTCTGGTGTAATGGGGCATTTAATTTTGATGTTTTTGAGCAATTGGGGGAAATTTGATACATTTATCTAAATTTTTAGTCTTTTATGTTTTCCAGATGTGTATTTTAATTTAGTTTTGATCTTTTTGTTAGCAATTCGGGAAATTTGGTAGCTGGAGTTATGGAAATTTGATATATTTGTAGCAGCAGGTTTTCACATTTGTTTAAATTTTTTGTCTTTTGGTTTTCCCAGATGTATATTTTGATTGAGTATTGGATTTAATTGTTTCGTCTTTCGTGATTTAGTTTCAGAATGAAACTCAACCTTGTTTGTTGATTGATTGGTTAGTTCGGTTTTGTTGGTCTATATTTTTGTTCATATGCTTTGCTTTGCTAAGTACTGATTCTGAATACATTCTTTCGGAAATTGAATGCGCGGCAACTTTCTAACTGCACATTGATATTAGGAAGTAAGGATGCCTGCTGCTGGTTCAAAGGGTGGACCTAAAAACCCAGGAGAGTTGAAAGATGACACTTCCTCGTCACGTGAAGAAAAGCAGGTATGATATTTTTATGAATTAAGACTTCGGTTGGAGAATGTGCTTGTTGAAGTTGAAGTTGAACTGTTTCATTCCGATCATTGATCATTGTCATACTCAAAGCATTATACTTGAAGTTTTGGAGTGTTATATGACACCGCAAAAACTTAGGACTTTACCCAATTATGTCTAGAAAGCTTTTAGTTTCTTAGTTCAAGGATTTTATAAAAATACTTTTTGTACAGGTTTGCTCTCTTGAGTTTTGTTGGTTGTCTTAGGGCAGTATAGTAGTACCAAGATATTTTCGTGATTCTAATGGTTTATGGGAATGGGATCAAGCTTCATTGATTAAGTTAGATTCACCATCCATTCAGTTGATATTCCACTCGTATTTAAGTTTCTCACCTTGTATGTTTGATCATTGCATGCAAAAAGGGTCAAAATGATCATCTCTTCTAATGTATAGGTTGATTACCTATTTTCCTGTCTCAAATTATGCAGATAATTACGCGTGCCCTGTCAAGCCCACCCTTTGGAGATTATCGTGTCTGGTGGTCTCTTTCAGATTCAAAGTATGCAGGAACTGCATTGTTTGTAAAGAAGTGTTTACAGCCACAAAAAGTATTTTTCAATCTTGACAGAAAAGGTTTGCTGGTTAATACTCTATTTCTTTTAATAACATGCACCCACTGAAAGTTACATATGAAACCAACTTCTTACTTTCAAGTTGCAAACATCAATATCTATGCTGCCTACGTAGTTGTGGATCATTTCATTCTACTTTTTTTATTTCTGCCTGCAAATTATGTAAAGTATATGTAAACATCCAATTGATTATGTTAAGAACAATGAACTTATATTCTTTCAGAGATTCTTGATAATTAAGTCTGACTCTCTTAGAAATGGAATGTGTACATGTATGTATTCTGGTCCAACCATGTAGGGGGAGAAAACTTTTAATCTTTGTGCTTGCATCTCTATCCCCACCGCTATTTTCTTTATACTGACTTGCACATGGATCAACAGTCAGCTAATATAGTTTACTTTGTTTTAGTTTCAAAGCATGAACCAGATGGCCGGGTCATCCTAGCTGAATTTGAGACATTTAATTTGTTGAATACATATGCACCAAACAATGGTTGGAAGGAGGAAGAAAACTCATTCCCAAGGAGAAGAAAATGGGATAAAAGGATTTTAGAGTTTGTTCTGCAATCTTCGGATAAGCCTCTAATATGGTGCGGTGATCTGAATGTTAGGTGAATTTTTTTCTTTCTGTGCAGATGTTTTATCCTGTTAAGATTTCTCTATCATATTTACTCTTGCTCTTTTCTGATTAAGTGTATCAGTTTCTTTCCCCGAACTCACATTTTTCTTTCTTAACCTAAATTCATATGCAGTCATGAAGAGATTGATGTGAGTCATCCAGATTTTTTCAGTGCAGCAAAGGTTAATGGTTATGTTCCTCCAAATAAAGAGGTATTATATTTAATACTGAAGCTTCTTTGAACATGATTATGGTTGGCCTATAGTACTTAGTATGTGGTTTTATTTGACTTGCCATATGTTACCTAAATTGCTAAAAAATGCATAGGAGGAAATGAATGGTGACCACTTTTTTTTCGATGCATATGCATTTTTGTTTGTTAAGAAGTATTTGGTGGTTCCATGGATTTTAACTGCTTTATTCCTATGTATGTAGAACATGGAGGTTCCAATCCACCATTTGGTATTTAACATTTGAGAAAAAAAATAGTAATACAAGAATTGAAGCCATTCAGTTGTTGTGTGGTTGAGATGCTTCTCTATGAAGAGTTACCATCATTTGTGTTGATGGTGGCCATATTATCTGCTGCCCTTCCTCCATTTGTTGATTAATAGTGTATCGAGTTTTAGTATTAGACAACTGGTGTGGTGAATGGATGCAGGATTGTGAGGCTATATGTCAATTAAAAGTGTGGCCTACGAAACACTAAGAAGGGTTTGCTTTCTGGATGATGCAGGATTGTGGGCAGCCTGGATTTACCTTGAATGAGAGGAAACGTTTTGGTAGCATTTTGAAAGAGTATGTAATTCCACTGGAAAATATAAGCTACATTTCCTATATTTAAACATAATTTACTGAGAGGAGGTTAATTGTTACTTGAAGAACAACTCTGAGAGCTATATTTTCTGTCTGATTATATCTTTTTTTTCCCTTCACGAGTTTTGATTCTTTGAAGATTTTCTGAATTGGTTTATGTGGGTTATGCTTCAGGGGAAAGTTAATAGATGCATACCGACACCTTCACAAGGAGAAGGACATGGAGCATGGCTTCTCCTGGTCTGGAAACCCCATAGGAAAGTAAGAACTTACTATGAATTTTGATATCTTTGTCGCTCCATTTAAATGCGCATGAATGATTGGGAGTCTTTTTGATAATCATATATTGGTGTCCAGGGTAACACCACCTGATAAACATACCGTTTGGTTTCTGGCAGGTATCGAGGTAAAAGGATGAGAATAGACTACTTCGTTGTTGCAGAGAAACTCAAAGATAGGATTGTTTCATGCGAGATGCATGGGCAAGGGATTGAACTACAAGGTATGTGTTGGATATTACTTCTGTTGGCTTTCCACTCTTTTGTGATCCCTGGAACCAGTACATGATTCACACATTGGTTGCATCGTTCGCCTTGGGATCTAGTAATCTTAAAAACAAAAGAAACTAAATGAAAAGAGAAGAAAGAAATTGATCATGTTGCTTTGGGCTTTTACCATTCGGTGCTCAGAAAATTCCATCGTAAACTACAGGTTAACCTCAAAAGCTAAAATGAAAGAGCGTTATCTTCATAGCTTTCATATACTACAGTCCATGTCACTTTTTATTCTGGATTATCAGCGCTTAGATCTGAATTACAAGCATTTGATTCTAAACTCTGTGCAGGGTTTTATGGAAGCGATCATTGTCCAGTCTCCCTCGTGCTTTCGGAAGGAGACACGGCTTCTAAAGAAACTGGATTACCTGCATAACCTTGTACCGATATTTGTTACAGTGCCACTGCCATGTTAGAGAAGATTTGCTTTTTCAATCTGTACCATTTGTATACTATTTTGGTTAGGCTTTTGGAATGCTTCTCTACTATTTGAGAGATTCTCCTCGTACAGACGTGAATCGCGTGATATGGCGAAAAGGGGGCATTTAAGTATGATTAGTGTAATGGAATCTGATCATTTATGGAAAATGATTTGGTCCGCTAATCATTCTGTTTTGATTTAATTGCTTATTAAGTTATTAATCTAGGTATACTTAGAATTTGGAGTGCTTGGGGCCCAAAGTAATCTCATGAAAAAGACAATTAAATATATTCAGGAGAGGCGTTGCCCTCCTTGTTATCATGATAGCTGTGAAAATGGCAAGGTTCATGTCATTTGTCAAAAGCAAACAGGAACTATGGGCTTGTTTGGAACTTAAAATTTTTTTTTTTAAAAAGCGTTTTTAGTAATTTTAAAAGCACATACAAACGAGTTTGGCTGATGAAGGAACACTTTCAGTCTAAGGTTATGGAATTTGAAGAGAAAGTTATGCGTCCGGCTATAAAAGTTCAATTTTCTGCACCGGATTCGAATATCAAGCAATAAGGGCAAAGATACTCATAAGAGATGAGTGTTTTTACAGTGAAGGTGATTAAGCAGTTTGAGCGCTGAACTCTGAAATGCACATGTGAGTAATAGATCATATAACATCTCACTTCACAGGAAAAGCTAATGAAGTGACCACTTTTGGTGAAATAATTGAATACTCTTCATCGGCTAAGACTTGGATTGATAACCAATCAAACTAGGAATAATATTGTTAATCCAAACTGAAGGTACTCTTAGAACGATAGATTCTACAGCTCAAGTGATGTTAATCCAAACCACTTTTATTTGTAGGGGTGAATTTTGTGATGGTCAAGTTTTCCAAGCAGTAAAATTCTGAAAATATTCTAATTCCTTTGCATATTCTCTAAATATACTCAGAATTATTCTCAGTCAAAACTCTACCGCTGTCAATTCTCGTCATCTTTGACTAGGACTCTGAACCTAGATTGATTATGCAATTAATTCAACTTTTATCTACAAAACCGACCTCAATCCTTAATATTTCTCTCATCCAATAACTTAGAATATATGAACCAAGTGCGCACAAAATCAAATTCAAACAGATCCACATGGAGAAACAAAATAAAATAAAATTCGTGATCTTGAAGAGATGCGTCACCAAGATCAGCTCGTTTTTTCATTCCACTTCAATTTGGTATGAACTCTCTTTCCATGGAGCTGCCATACTAAATAGAGTAAATACTATATAGTATATGCTGCTACATGTTTGTTGATTAATTAATATTAAACTAAAGCTTCAAACCTTTCCAATATCATGAAAATAATGGCAAGAAAAGTTGCAAGTTCCAAAGAACATCATCTTCCGAATTAAAAGTAAGCAGTAAGTCCCACCTAATCATTGACAAATTAGAATAAGAACCAACATTCTCAATTATCCTAGTACAACTTTAAAGGAAACATGCACACATGCACTCAGCAGCGGTGGAGCTACCATTTGGTCATTGGTTGCTCATGATCTCAATAGTATTATAATTTCAATGTATATTTTTATATGATCCTTATACACAATAATGGTAAATTGAAAGAATGAGCCAAAAACACTTAATTACAAGGTGCTGCTTCTTTTCTGCAACCATCTACATAGTTATTTGTAATTTTTTTTCTTTCTTTCTTTTCTTTGTCATTCTTCTCCTATTTCTTGTGTGTGACCTTGTGGTGCGCAACAAGTGTTCGATAAAAAGCCTCACTCAATAGCCCTTGACGACATAATTCGACATGTACCCACCAGAAGTTTGACGAAATGATCCAATAAAATTTTTCTTGACCAAAATTATGACCCTATTGTTATGATCTTTTAACCACGAGATTTCTTGTTCTTATGTCAATGGAACCAGATTCCATTCCAACGAGAATCCGAAAATTGATCGAGCATTCAATGGTTTTAAATTTTCTGTTTTAAAAAAAAGGTCCGTACATGAACATGATACCCCATCAAAAAGACCCTAGCTACTACATGAATGACTTCCCAAAAAAAAAAAAATTATTTGTGAAAACTGAAGGAAAAAATTATCATGATCTTGTTAAAAAAAAACAATAAACTTAAATACATAAACATGATATCACGTGGAGCCGAAACTATTAAGGGGCCATCATGGTCTCGGGCCTACTTAATAAGTTTTTCAAGCAAAAGAAATTATTATTATGTCTCTAATTTCTAACCTTTTCAGGATAGGTCCCAATCTTATGCTATTTTCCTTTTATTTCCTTCACCGGATTTCATTTAAGGGCGGTGGTTCCTATGAAGGTGAGGCAACTGGCAGTTTGTAAGTTTTGGGGACTTTGATCAAAGGAGAGATAGGAAGAAGAAGCACCTGTGTTTTTCGGGTTTCTTGAAAGTCTGTTACTTTTTGCTTTTAATACTTTTTTACTTTTGCTTTTTTTATTTTTTAAACCTCTTCTCCTTCCTTTCTACTTTTACCTTCTACTTGAAAGACAAAATGTCTAAATTTGTGAGAGTTGTGATACAAACTTGGGTTTCAGTTTGAGATAAAGGATGATGGGGACGACATCTTATCAGACTCAAATGACCGTGATCAGCAGCTGAGCACACAACTAACCAATTTTTATTGGATTAAGAGTGTTCGATTGAGACTTTTGAGTTATTTTGGGTAATTTTAACTCCGCCATTAATACCACGTAGGTCCTGTTATGTTGATGATGACTACACGATGATCCAAGAAAGTGGGTGATGTCATCTACACAACCAGGGGTGACGATGCTGAAATATTACGCCGACAAAATTGCTGGAGTTGTTCTTGGACAATGGTGGGGAAATTCGCCCGTAGCTTGCCTTGGAAGCAGCCATCTCTGAGGAAGAGTATCAGAACCTGGTTGTAGTGGACGGATCAAAATTTTCTATGAAATGTTTAACATATAATTTAGAAATTAATAAATTATTAGGGTAATGCTATTCACACACACTTATAATTTTATTTATTAAACACCAATTTTAATTTTCATCTGTTAGATTGGATGAATTAAAGAAGATCATAACTGTTAATGTTATACTTTTTTTAAATATGTTCATATTTGTATACTAGGGAATGAGAATAAATTACTTATAGGTAAAGAGAAATATATTAATCCTTGTTATTAAGTAACATGCAAGAGGCTATAATGACATTCATAATTTTGGACAAAAAAGAAACAAAAAAAATTTACAAAACATAGATCAAAGCTCTCAATAGTTCCACGTAAGGTTTGGTTGTATTCCTCTTCACTTGAAAGTGAAATATCTTAGGTTTAAATCTCGTATTTAACGAATTCGATACTAAATTAGGCTGCTTATTGTGTAACTTAACCAAATCTCTCATTCTCTTAGTATAAAAATATTTTTGTATTTAACAAAAAAAAAAAAAAAAAGCGTCACATACCAAACGAGTCCGAGAGATGGGGATCAGAAGTGAAATGACAAATCTGCGCTCACCCACCAGCAGCCATTTTTATACTTGAACAATAATGACTATCAGTACAATTGAGAGATTGACTATGGTCGCAAGTCATATTCTCACCCAGAAGTTTGACAAATATTTTCACTTTTCAAGTCGTCAATTGAAAAGATGAATTTACTAGAAGACGACGGTCTTGTTGGGAAAAGGATCCTTCTTTTCCTGGTAATTCAAGGGATTTCGTGATCATGATCGTTTATCGTATATCATGTGATCAGAAATTATTTTAAATTTAAAATTAAATATAAATAGTAACTAATAAAAACTGATCGTACGATATACGATGAATGATCATGATCACAGAATCCCTTAGATTCCAAGAAAAGAACCTTGCAAGGATCCTTTTCCGTCTTGTTATACTCAAGTCAAATATGTTAACAACTATTTTCTTAATGAACGTTCGTCCAACAAACATTGGTCATGCGGTGAATTAGTAATAAATGAGTATCTTTTCAAATCAAGAGCCCATTATATGTTGTGATAGTGGTCGTATAGACGCTCTTGAATTGAAATTTCTCCTCACAATAGTGTGGGAGACGATCAACTCGTGCATAGAATATTTTTTTATGTTAGCAAGTGCATACATCATCAAAGACACAAGGTGAGACTCACATGTAATTATTTGCCTATGTAGTATGAGAAGATCTTTTGCGCATCAAACATACTGGTTCCGAGTGTTCAGCTGGACTCAATTATTTCTTTGTTTACATCATGTTCATTACTTTGGGAAGGAAATGCAAGTAATGAGTCATTCCAATTGCAGATTGTCTCATTGTTTACATAAGTATTGGAATCAAAATCTATATGAATTTCACAAAATTAGGAATGAAATTTGAGAGGGGAGTGGGAATGAAAATTGTCAACGCGAATTGAATTTGTTATATACCAGAGTTACCCTCATATTTTCTTGTGATGAAAGTAACATTTATTTTGTATGAGAAATATTTAAGTAATGATACTAGTTTTTATTCTGATTTCGAATGGTTAGTAAACACTTTATTAGGTTTCAATTTTATTTTTATTTTGATTTGTGACGGTTCGTAGTCACCTTAACGAGAGTGCATTTTTCATGTTTATCCGAAATCCTTCGTAACTCAATTCTTGATCATTTACATTTCAAGTATGTAAACATGTCCATTTAAAGGTGGGATGTCGTATTGCATAATTTTTTTTAATGTAAATTTTTTTTTCTCTTTTTTATGACGTGATATATATGTTTTTTTTTCTTTTCAAAATAGAATATTTGCGACCTAGCATTATAACAGTTAAAGCCCAATGAGTACTTGACAAGTGTTTCATACTAATATGATCATTTCCCGGTTTGACAGCAATCAAATAAATTAGACTAGTCAAACGGAATGTACAGTCCTGAGTCCACCGAATCGAAGACTCCCCGTGCAAAGTAATTAACAGATAGAATTTGAATAAAGTTTCATATTCATTTCATTCCAGTTTGTGCCTTTTTTATACGACGAAATAATAAATTGGTTTCGAACTTGTTATTTATAAAATTCGAACTTTTAGACTTTGTATTTCAATCAAGGTAATATATGATGGTCAGATTTGTTGGTTTTTATCTTTTATTTTACAGGAATGATATTTGAGAAAAAACTTAAAAATTTGATAAACTATATTACATTAGAACAG